AAGTGAACTTTTTAAGTTATTCCATCAGTCTTAAAACAGTTTGTCTTGGTGGTCTTGATTGTGTGTTAGTGGTTATTCTCGTAGATTTCATTATATTCAACTGCATTTCTGTACAAGTTGACTTTTGACAAAGTTATCATTTCATCTTTTCCAAATGGATTAGTAGAGCAGGTATAAATTGATTTATCCACTGATTGCTAATTGACTTGAATGCTGTGCTTCCAGAAATGCTGTGACATGCTTGAAATTCTCATGATCCAGAATTTCAACGTTCTTCTAGTCCAATCCATCTTTGTAATTGTCTATATGTACTGATATCAGTGTCCTTCCACTGATAGTTTGTGTTCATGTGTGGATAGGAAGAGGGGATCCACTTTGTTTAACGTAGTATTTATCACAGTCGATGTAATTTATTTTGTAGACAATACTGAATCTTTCTTCTTTCACTGTTGTATCTTATGGTCTATATAAAATAGAGCGGAGTGATTGTGTTGCTTCATGATCGATATTGATTTTAAAGGGTTTCCAAATCCTTGTGGTGATTCCTAAGATGTTTTTCACATTTGGAAGGATCATCCATTTTCTAATTCTTGAGATTCATTCTATGATGGTGGATTAATTCCTCAGACACTTTAATTTTCTATATTAGCCAGTTTTACAACAACAAAAAAACAGACAGACAGATAAGTTTCTTCTATTTTTTATCTCCTGTATATCTCTAATCAATCACTCAAGAATAGTTCCAATATAGCAAATTTCCAGTTTAAAACATTTACATATCACCATCATTCATATACACTTACCCTTTGTTCACTGAATTCTTTATCGAAAATCCATATTTTTTTTCTACCATTTTTTCTTGTTTCTAGATGTATTATCTATATTCGGTATTCAAGCTATTCTTCGAGATATTTGTAGAATTCATCCTATCTTAAAATTATTGACCAGTTCTCTTGATTATTTTACAACAAATCCATTATATTCTAATCTACAAGGTCCCTTAAATTCAATTTCAAACAATTTAACTAAATTATGTGATACACTAGCTAGAAAATCACAAACTAAACGTGAAAATAAATCTGACTTAAAATTAACTAACAGTCAACATGTCAAAAAAACTAAACAAAAGAATAGTGGTAGTAACAACAATCGACTAACAGAACAAAACATCCCAGAAACTAATGATTATTATCATGAAAACTTTTCTCCAGAATCTTTATTATTGTCGAACATAAAAAAGCAGCAGCAACAACAACAACAACAGGATAATTTTTTAACAACAAAACAAACTATCAATGAAACAAACAATTCATCATCACCACAACCATCATGTCAAGCATTCAATAATCACTGTCAAGTTCTACAATGTCAAATTGAACATTTAACAAAGTATTTAAGTGAATTATGAGAAATAAAAGCACAAAAAAAAGAAGAGTAAATAACTATCCTACTCATATATTTATTTTTTTATTCACACTACCTAAGCTTTCTGTCCTCCTGTTTCATATGTAGAAATTTTATTCATTCCCTCTTGTATTTAACATAGATATTTCTCATTTTCATTTGTATGATACACGATTATTATTGTCTTTATAGCCTTCATATTCTTTGAAAGTAACTTTGTTTGCGTTTTACACTTTGCATAAACTAATTCAAGATGAATGTATTTTTGATTATTTACGGAGGGGGGAGTTGAATGTGTTGAAACACATTCTTAAATCGATATAAACTTCCACTACTTTCAAGATGTATAATAGGATAAGCTTGGGGGTTTCTTTAGTTGTGAAGTCTTTTAGATACATTCACAATCAACAAATTTGATTGAAATCATGAATCGATCAATGTTAGACTAACATTGAAAACCTGGAAGCACTGGACCAACATTTCGTCGATTCATTATCTTAATCAAATACTTAGCAATCTCCACAACTCCATACTGATAACTACCATGTGCTCACTAGTGACTGGCTTCGTAAGGAATTTCTCGAAGTTATAGTAAGAAGCATCCACAATTAACAAATTGTTATAGAGAATCTTGTCTTTTTATTCAAACGCTAGACTATAATTCTTGTGGATTAAAAACTTTGTTAAGTGTTGAAAACAGGTTGATCAAATACTGTTCATTGTTTTGTACTTCATGTTTTAAAACGATATAGTTATCCGTCATGTAACTATTAAAGTGAAAATAACATTTTTTGCAATTCAAAACAAAAACATAATAATTAGTCAATATCATTTTACTCTGACTATGGTACTAATATACAAAGTACAGTTTCGTGTATTCGGCTTTGAGCCACAGTTTGTTGGAATGCTGGTGATACTTTTCAGCTGTTCAAATTGGAGTAGGTAGAACGAGACTCGAACTTGTGACTTAGTGATTGAAAGTCGACTGTCGTAACTACTAAGTCACTGCTTTAAAGTATCTCTATAGCTGCTATGTTCAATCAATGGGTGCGTCCAAATATAAACGACACGATGATATAAACAATGAAAAGTTTCATCAACTAAAGCAGTAACTAAAATGTACGGATCCAGATAGTGAATTTTTATCCAATGTTTTTTTCGCTATTCTTAGTCTCAGCCAAACACGTAGATCTAAGCGTGTGCGATTGCGTTGTTTTTTTAGACCAGGTTCATTTGAAATACGCTTTTAGTTCCAGGAAAGATGATGCATACCAACGTTCAGAAGAAGTACAATCCAACACCACTTGATGAGGTTTCTGTCGGATCGGAAAACATAACGATATGTTCGGTGTTCAAGAGATAAAAACACAATTAATGGTACGGAAAGCTAAACACTGAGCAACAACTTAGCTCTTACCTCATGTTTGATAAAATAGACGTCAAAGCTAATAGGACAGCCAACTAAGACTACGTATATGACAAAAAGGCCCCCTCTCTATGCTTATCCAATTATCACCACATTCTTGAGTTCCTATCTGATAACATTCAGTTGAAGTGAACCTATCGGTGCTGCAATTAGAGACCCATAATGACCAAATCGTCCCCTGGAGGGGATATTTGTGGGTCCCCCCTCTTTTAGGTTCTTGAAATATAACTTCATATATATCAATATTCATGTTAGGAGTTAACAGTGACACCTGAGAAAAAGATCTATTATTTCTGAACACCAGCAAATCAATCAGTCCCAGCTGGGTAACGTGCTAGTAGGACTGACTCAGTAACATGTGTTTATTAATTAGATACTACAGCAGTGGATTATACTTTTAAGAGCTTGGGTAAACATTTCCCCTTCTAAATTATGGGTCGCAGAAATAAAAGTACTACGGGAAACTATGCTCTATCTTTCCACGTGTCCAACTATTAAAATCAGACAGATAAAATCCAAGTTGTTCCTTCTGTATTTTTAGGACTGGTCTAAATCAACCTCTGAACTGATGATGGGGAGCGAAGCGAGCGTGTCAACCACTCCACTTATCGCAAAAGTTCAGAAAGCTCGTTTGGTTTTTATAAACCCGCGTCATCTGTGGCACAGATAGGATGTCGGTCTGCCAACCAAAGGACGAGTTTACTGTATAGCGACTCCCCTTGTCCTGCTTTGAGTTTGAAGTGTGGTCATTAAGAGTAGAGGATAATTTGCAGGCTGTTACACGATATATGCCTCAGAACCATTGCTCATGTACTTTAGAACCACTGAGTGAACAACTCTTAGGAATATGGTACCAAGTATAAATGGCAAATCGACTGAGGCGGTTGGGACATGTAAAACAAGTACCTAACGGCCGCCTACCTCAACAGGCGATGCTTGTTAGTGTAGGAGTACACTACAAAGCTAGGTGTGGTTAAACTAAGACCTGGCGTTAGTTCATGAAGTCACTAACTGTCGGATCGAGCCATGTAAGTACATAGTACCTGGTTGATGGTCCGTATGATCATCGTAACCTATCGTTAGACTTTGGATGACATGGCTCACAATCGTTTGCAATGGCTAAGATGCACTTACTCTTCCCTTGTAGTGGACGCTACTCGCAAGATTTTTTGTAAGTAGTGTATGGCGGGACGTAGCGTCGAAGTTGCAAAATGTGTTAGACGGAATGAAGAGTTTTAGTACATCGAAAGCACGGAAGATCAGAAGAGAAATCCGTTTAGACTTCAGAACACACCGATGGATGATTGAAGGCTATGTATTATGTAAATGCTTTGTAACTTATAATAAACATACAATCCCTCAGTCCATTGACGTGTTCTTGAAAACAGAAATCTCCTTTTGTTTTCACCTAACATTTCTTACTACCACTAATAATGTTACTACTACTATTACTCTAGGATTTGTCTCGCCATGCGGATGTGGTGTGGCAACTTAGGACGACGCACGTGTCATATTCTATGTTGCACATAACTGACTGATTTCCATTCAATCTCTTAAAGACAATGGTACTTTTATTTTATGATATCTCATGTAGTTGGCTTCGGGCAATACAGACAGGCATAATGAACGCGGGGTTTAGTACAAATGTGCTTTAAATAAAGTTCTTATACCATTTTAGCACGATGAGATGAAATAAACTATATATATATATATATATATATATATATATATATATATATATATATATATATATATATATAATAAGGAAGATTAAATATTGGGAGTGTAGTTTCAAAAGATGGGATGAAAAGACGTGTGAAGAAATACTGGAATCCAATGTCTGTAAGATTGGATGCATTTACGCCACCGTGACCGATTTCGAGCCACGTCATAAATTGATACCTAACTCTCATTCAACCTACTCCAATACTACCAAACATCGGGTATCGATATAGGTAATCATTAGTCATACATAATAATATACGGATCCTCAAACCGAAGTAGGTGGAGAAAGGGATTGAAACCCAGTCCATTTGAAGGATAAGTGCTTTAATCATTTAGTTAGTGTGTGATATGCAAGACGTGCCAGTTTACTATCGTAATTTTGGTAAGCCGATAAGTTTATGGATTAAGTTGCCAATAAAAACTTGAACAAAAAACACAACGATCTGTAAAACTACAAACTTCACTTGTTTTTTAACTAGGCAAATTCTTTTTCGATTTTAAATATACATTTTATGTATTTATTCACAGGATATAAGGGGGATAAGGTTTTATTTAAAACGAATAATGATATAGCACGCGTTCGAACGAATGACAAAAAAAATCTAAATGGACAAACAAGTGAACAGATATTAAGATGAGAAAAAAAGGAACAAGTTCCGAATAGTGATTTACAAGGATTTCAGCGGAGAAACAAAGGAAAGTTATTTCTTGTACACATACATCAAAACTTCAATGGTAAAGTAACTACAGTTTGTTTTACCAGGAAAGATATGCGTAGAAGTGTCTGTGGTGAAAGTCAAGTGTGAAATTTTAAAACAAAAAAATTTAGTCTTCTGGGTTATTTTTCTTCACACCATTCATTTTCTTTCTTAACCTAAAGAAACAATAAAACATGAAAAATAGGAAATAAACCATTTAACAAAGAAATAATTTATTCATATGGACTACAGAAGAGTGGATCAGTGGCTTAATGATTAAGGCGTTCAACTTTCAGCCACCAATCTCCAGGTTTGAACCCCGTTCCACATACTTCTTTTTGGGCAACCAGAGTAGTATCACTAGCTTCTATATTTGGAGTATGGCTCATAACCAGCTTAAGAAAAAACAGATGTGGGGCGTTAACCTTTCTTGGTAAATACGTTTGACCCCAAGAAGATTCTTTTAAGAAATCTCGGTACGTCTGAACTAACCCTGAATCTATCCGCTAAAGCGCATTACTGCTGAAGTGTTGTCAGTCGGTATTTATATCGGTTGTACAAGGTGATATTTTGGATCCAGTTAACTTATTTGCGAATCCAAGAGTATTCATTATATTTATTGAACAAATTACTACTAAATCTCTCTCGATCATCACTTATAACAAAACATTAATGTCATTTGGTGAGAAGTATTAAATTGACGTTTTCTACTTAGCATACAGATAGACGTTACCTGATTTGAATAAAAGCTTTTAACAATAAGATGAGGAACAGTAAGGGACAGGCAAATAAATAAGTCTAAGGAGTTAAACGGCTCCAGGATACAGACAAAGTCCTAGAGATAGAAAATTATGTAAAAGTCGATAAAAATTGTTCTGATTAGGCAATTTAATAATGGTTACGGCATTGGAAAATACTAAATTGTGAATATCCAACAATTAGCTTCCAAATAACTTTGCCTACAGTTAAAACTATTATAATGAACTGATGAGACGGCAATTAAGTTGATGATTGAGTCAAGAGGCTAGTAAACATGAGATCATGAATGATGATGTGTGTTCGCAAATGGTTACTTAAAAGATATGACCTTTAAGCGACGCCAAATCGATCTTGGGAATGTCCACTTTCCAACTAGAACTACATGAGGTTTAAAAGCCAGTGTGAGGAATTAGAATTTACACTTGATGGTCAGGGTTAGGTACTAAATCTAGGGGTTTTAGCACGAAATGACATTAGCTAAAATACCAAAACTCTATTTAGCCAAATGAATGGATTTCGCGCCGAAATCCAAGACCCGTTGTCATAAATCTGATTGGTTCGCCCATAAATCATAGTGTCGCCGAATATTTTTTGCTAGGTCACAGGTATATTCTGGGTGTAAGTCTGAAACTACATACTTACTTGTTCTTCCTCCTGGGGCGTGAAGTCACACTTAATATTGAAGGTTTTGCGTATTTCTTCTGGTGTTTTTCCTTTGATCATATTAGCTACAGTTTTACAGCATACATCCAACAGTCCCCTAATATCGAGATAGTTGGCTGCTAACATCAACTCAAACAGTGTTCCTTGGTCGACACGAAGGAACTCTTGATCCCAACTAGGAATATCATCTGTACGACGTTCTTTGTTTTCGTCATCTTCCTGGGGTGGTGGATCGTCTTTGTGATAAGTGCACCACTGAATAACTTTACGCAGAATTCCAGCATTAACATTTGGGAGGGGAACTGGCTCTTCATCTCCTTGCTCCTCCAACCCTAAATCTATAGAAAACAACAATATACAACATAGTCTTAATTACTTCACAATGTTGTTCACAATAGTTAGCTATTTTGGTGGTTATACATATGGATTTCTAAATATCTAAACTTTACAAGTTCAATAGAGGCTCAACCACAGTCTTATTCACATTATAATTGATGAATAAAGTGTACTTCATGTACTAGGATATCGTAAAACCCGCAAATTACATGTTAGTCTGGAAAATCTGGAAACCATGATGTTTTTCAAGAAATACTTTGTCTGTGTCTCCAAAAAACTGCACTTTATGGAGATGACAGAGCTTTTGCAAGTGGAATAGTCACTCGTAAATTTTGAAAATAAGTCACATTATTAGTGTTAAGACTTTTTGCCAGTTAATATATCACGTGAAAGAGTAGCTAATCAGAATGCTACTTATACAATCTTAAGGCTGTGCCACAACAATGACGTATTGACCAATCTGAGCAACCTAGTGTCCTTATTGACCCTTTTCTTCCTAGCCCTGCCTGTTGACTCCAGAATGCCGACAACAGCTTCTATTGTACGTGTCATATATTTCAAACATACTTGGCTTATATACAAACTAACCAGACCACATCATACCATAAATAAAAAACAACAATTGTACAAGACCGAGCCAAAAGGTGGCTGTGATTGTGAGAGACTAATTAGTAAATTGGTAACAGCTTAAAAATAGTAAATCGTATAATAACAGTCTATAGGCCAAAATAAAGCATATAATAATAGGAATACAAATGTGCATAATCTAGTTACTCAGGTTATGCAATAAGGATATATGTATGTCAAGTGATTTTGCCAACTCTAGGTTATGAATACAATCGTTTAACGCAACTGAATATTGGATATTCAATGAGATTCAAAAACCAACACTTTTGCACAAGAACTAGGGACAACATCCCTCAAGGAAGTATGTTGGTTTACATTAAACAGGAGTGTTGAAAATGCAATGTGTGACATAAGCTTATTATCAACTTTGCTCAGAAGACTAAATAATATAGTAATGAATACTGTTAAACGTCTGAGAAACTGACCGACCAATAGTAGGTTAAATTTACTTCACTTTGTGAATGCATCAACTGCATAAAATAGACTCCCCAGTATGAATGAAAATAATCATTGTTTAATACTTGTTTATTTTGATGGAGTTTTGTTCTCTGAGCTGGATGGTTTGGTCGTGGAGCTTTCATCGTTCTTCTGAACGACATCATCAGCACAAACTTCAGATAGAAGTGAAGTGTTCGATTTTCTCCATATGTGTTTCACAGCTTGTTCTGTGCACCTCGATGTTGATTGGTTCTTGTTGACCTTAAATTTATCATTGTTCACTTCTTTGTTTTGGTTGTGTCTCCCATTGTGCTGATGATGTCGTTCAGAAGAACGATGAAAGCCCCACGACCAAACCATCCAGCTCAGAGAACAAAACTCCGTCAAAATCATCCACCTGAGCTACAAATCTTCTCCACTTGTTTATTTATTTATCTGAACATATAAATATTGGTACAAAGGGGTATCGAATGCATATGCGTCACACAAGTCAATTGATTTGTGTGTGGGTTGTGATACTGCCCGAGTTCCCAGACCGAAGCAGGTGGTTTCCTTAGGGAGCCGCTCTCTGAAGAAATTTTACGTCTCATAGTCTCACTTTACAATTACTTAGTTGACGAAAGAAGTCCGTAAGTACGACATATGGAGTGCGAAACAGAAATACGAAAGTAACAAGGCCGACACACTCCAGGCGAGTTACTGCTAAGGATAGTCAGGAAGTGTATTTTTAGGGCACTCCAAGTGTTGGTGTTAGTATGGGAAACGAGACCATTGTCTGCTCCCAGAGATCCAATGAGTTATACCATTATTAGCCACCATGAAAATTTGTACAGGATCAAACAAAAAAATATTAACGGCTATTGAGCGTGAGGCCATAATGTACAACAATACAGTGGGTTGGAACACATTACTTTAAGGAATAGAATGAGACCAAGGTGTATGTAATTGCCTTCAAATGCCCTGGTAAGACCGAGGGTGGTGAGAGTCAACTCTCCCTCTCCAAATGCTCTCACGTGGCCACGCAGATACAATCACTGCCAGGGGAATACCACTAACTGAATTCTCGTGACAGGGGTGTTGTTTTCGAAACAGAGTACGTAAAGCGAGTATCCGGCGCTTAACGGGGTTGGTGGACATGGAGGATCCACCCAGGGGGGGTTGGAAAACCACTATTCCCAACTATTGGTGCACATGGACTCCAGGATCCTGAAGGGGCAAATGGCGTATGGAACTATTGCTGGTCACCGGCCATCATGGGACTGTACCACCTGCTTCGGTTTGAGCACCAGGGTAGTTTCGCAGCTCACACAAATCATTGGTAATTACTACTGGCCTAATCGTTATTGTGTGGTGCATATGTATTTGGTGCCCGCTTGTACCAATGTTTATTCGTCTAAATAAAGGAATAAATTCCATCATTACACTAGCCTACTGTGCTAATTTTTTGAACAAAGAACAGATAGCTGACATCCAGAAAGAACACACTAGGATCGGTAAAACTATAATTTATGGACGAACCAATCAGAGTTATGATAACAAGTCATCGCATTTTATCTCATATAAGTTTGTGTTAAAACCCCTAAATTTAGTTCCCAACCCTGACCATCAAGTGTAAATTCTAATTCCTCACACTGGTTTGTAAACCTCATTTAGTTCTAGTTAAGATGAACATTCTAAGTCAATTTGGCGTCGTTGATGGTTGTCCACAAATGATGGTGCCAATGAAATCATTTAAGAACTTAAAAAACGGAATCTGAAAGCTCAGCTTAGTGAGGGACAATAACACAAACCAAATGATAGTCTACAGAACTGTGGCAAAGATTATGTACATGTCCAATCCCATTTCGGGTAAATTTGGGTTTTTTTTGAAACTTTGGTGACTTTAACCAGACGGACTGAAATTTTGACGTTTTAGTGCTACTTCCTTAAAGTTTTCTATAGCGGTTTCTCCTAAATTTACCCAAAACGGCAATAAACATTCTCCAAAATAGGGAGGTCGGATGATAACACAAGCCCAAAGACGGACAGTCCACACAGTAATGTGGACTTTCGGGCAAACACAACAATCCCAAGTTGATCTAACGTAACTGCACATAAAAAACACCCAAATAAGGCGTTCTGAGCGTTTACAAAATGAAGTTGGTGGAGTTATTTCGAAAAGTTATGATATGCAATTATTTTCTTACCATCCAACATGGTTTTTATGGTGACGGATTGCTTTGCAATAGCCACATCTATATCAAAAACCTCACCATCGGAACTAGCAAGTTTGATCGACGGCATCTTGGATATATCGTAGCAACCGCGGTAACCTCAGCAATCTGCACTTCCTTTTGTCATTGATAAACTAAAACAAACCTGTGCATTATAATTGTATGGTGCGAATCAAAACACTTTTGGCGTCCGAATCTTTGTGGGAACAGAACATTCTCTGGTTTTAATAGTCTATTTTTACATACATTATATAAATCAGATGGAAAGATTGCATTAGATTTGTTCGTTGGTGACAGGTTGCTTTTCCAGTGTTCACCTCTCACCAGTAGGGTGGGAAGTCACTCGAGTTGCGTCATTCCGTTCAGTTTGTAGTACTGTGAAGATCTAGTCTCGCTGTTAATGTCTCAGCAGATGCTGGTGTTACGTGTTCTGGTAGAGAATGCCAGAAATTCACCACAATCTGTGAGAAACACAACTACAGAGGTATACGAATTGATTTCGAATTTCGAGCCTTCTTAGAATGTCCTCTCAGATGAACGGAAAAGATAAGAAATAATTATATTAAGATCATCATTCAATATGAGCTAAGCCAGTATTAGACTACCCCGTACCCTGTGGTAAGTTAACGGAAAGAGTTGAGATATCTCAGTTTGTCCTCATATGGCAGGCGTTAGAAGGATGTAAGTTGAATTAAAGTATTTCCACGCAGAATTGCCTTTGAGGAATGATAACTTTCTGTGTCTTAAACAACCAGCGCTAGAATATACTTGAAGAAGACTCTACAATCTACATATGTAAAATTTTCAAGTATGCCATTTTTCTTATTGTACTTCCCTCCGCTAAGCAACCTTGTTTGTTTGGAATATAATTATGTCCCTGTTCAACCGTTTCCTGATTTGGGGACTTATCGAGTGAAGTTGTGTCCAAGAATACCAATTAATAGGAGTAGTTTGGTTGTAATAGGAGATTTTATATCAATGGGTCAGAGAGACATTTGACCATTTTAATCCCTCACCGTTGGACTCATTCTAGCATATCCGTTTCATAATTGAAGCAAGGGCCTGCTGCCTGAAACAGAAACTCCCCTAAGCACATATCTCTATATCTTTTCAGACAAAAACGCATTTAATTATGGTAAAGAATTTCTTTTGGTATTGTAAACTTCAGTGAAAAAATTACATACATTAAAAAGATTGAAAAATGGTCGATCGTGTAACATAATAAATGCTTTGAAGATACTTCAACATTTTCTTGTTGCACTGTATTGCCACATCTTGAATTTTCATTGCTAATATCTTGGGTGACCGAACTCAAGGTTCCAGCCTGCAACAGTTGATCATTACTGCTATTTTGCTTTTTACTGGAAGCGTTTTTTGACCGTATTAGTTCTTGTGGATTGAGACTTGATCCCATTTTGTTCGGAAAATTCTTGCTGATTCTTGGGTACTTGGTAGGTGCATCTGGTGCCGGTTTTCGTCTGTATAGTAAATTATTTTATACTAGAAAGAATTTTAACTGTATACTGACTGAGCCAGTATGATATGATCATTTATCATATTATTAACACACAAAGTTAGCACAGGATGTGTTTTTCGACGTCATAGTTGACAGTGAATAATTCAAATAACCTCCGTACTCTATTCAGATTAATGAAGTATTATGGCCCGATAGACTAGTCCTTTGTGTCATTGAATCATCCTCTGTGTTTTTACTAAACTTTTAGTTCTCGGTCGTAACTGGCAATGCATTAGTGTATAGGCCTTTGTTTGTTTTTTAAGTGGTGTAAACTAATTCTGAGATCTTTACTTGAATGCTACACAAATCACAATCCATCCGTGTGCGAGAAGCACAACATTTAAATCAGAAACTGGAGAATACTGTCAGATATTTCCTATAACCACCTATCTGAACTTTCTCTATTCCTTATTTTTTAACTACATCCGGGTATTTTGAAATTGCGTTTTAGTGTTAACAAATCTAGTAGATAACTGTAACTCGATGCGAATAACGTAAATCGGAAACAGGAATCTGGTAAATTAAGGGGGATGAACAACAAATATGGGAAGAAGCCTTGCGATCGAAACACCTGAGTATTTTACCTGTAAGTGCTATCCAGGATTTTTCAAATAACCCTTTGCCTTTGAAATATATTTAAAGACGATTTAGTATTGAAGCAGTAAAATTCATGTGACATACTTTTATACCGGCGGCCTTTTATCTGAAATCGCATCATATTCATAATGGAATTCTAGCCTTGCCTATTAATTCTCTAATTCAGCCACTTATAAACTCCCGTTTTAGAATTGTGTATAGGATCGATGTGTTTCGTCATATCGCCTTTTACTCCAAAACTAATTATGAATTGGACCCACAACGAACCGGTGTACAAAGGGTACGTAACCAAAGCTGCAAAACCGATAAATTTATGTATTGGCAAGTTAAATTTATTTCTGAATTTTAGTTTCTAGCTTTTATACTTCAAGACGATATTTGTCTTTAAAGCTTAGTGCTGAGCGTATAAGTCTAATTTTCACGTCATGAAACTTGTTATCCTTTAAGCAATTATTTGACTTTTTCATCGCATACGTATATGTAAACGAGATCTGTGCATCTTATCGATGTATCTTAAACACATCACGATTACTCATCTTACCTCCAGAACGATATAGTTTGGATTATGTTTAGCCTTCAATTAAACGTTGGGTACTCATCCTTTAATATAGATAAATTTAAAACACAATAGTTGGATTGACCTGGCTCTAATTATAAAGGTTATAAACATGAACTATACAAGAAATATAGACGTATAGCACCACCACGCTATACATTCAAAAGAATTACTCAGCAGTAGGCAGTATTGTCAGAAATGCTTTGAAGATACATCGATTGGTTTTCAATGAATACGAGTTAATTAATTCTCAATCAGAAAAAGGACATTTCTAACAATCTAGGAAAATTATGTTACCATTTTGAGCTAATTCAGTCCAGTAAATTTAAACGGAACAAATTCAAGCCAAAGAAAGTAATATGACAGTCATGTAATTTCGAGAATAATTAAAACGAAATTAATGCAACCCATAAAGAAAAATTAACAGAATAATGCGATACACTAAGGAAATCGAATCATGAGTACGATGATATATGAAAAGTTCATCTAGGAACAAAAATAAGTGAAATGTGCAGATGAATAAGTCGAAAATGATCATTTTTCATTCAAGTGCCAAAACAAAGGGTTATTGATGTGCGAAAAAGTTTACATGGATGGATTTTCACAAACAAGCCCATACATACACGCGAACGAAAAGAATTTATGGCTTTAATTATCATTTGTTAAATTCTTAACTGATCATTCCATTCACTTTAAAACTATATCACTGTGTACGTGATATATATACTTGGGATATATAAAGTTTTCTAAAGCAATTGTGCGAGCATATTGTAATGGATTGACTTTATTGTTGGACGAATATGATTCCAACTCGTGACTCTGCTATGCATTTATGATTACTAAACTATTAAGACGTATTAGCGTCTACGGCTATCGACTGTTACAAAAATGGAAATAAAATTAGGAGATAATACGGAATTGTATAGTTCAGGCTCATAATATTGCCAGACCAAAAACGTGAGGCAAGAAGACGGAATTGTATAAATTTATATAATACGTTTACTTGATCTAATAATATAGTCATGGCTACATATACGTGTATATAAAACTGTAGTAATTCATATAAATGAATACAAAATGACCAATATGGTTACAATGACTCAGTTGAGTGTAACATACATGGTAAGTTTTGTACTCGTTCATTCAAGAATGGGCTTGCACAGACTTTTCACGCATCTTCGTTATAGCACACTCATAAACCTTACTAAGTGATTGAAATATCTTTATGAAAGCCAAGTGCTACAATACTTACCCGTAAACATGTGATTATAAACCACTGATTGTTCGAAGATTGTGTGTACAGATATAATTTAGGATGTTTCAAAAACGTCCAAAAGTACCTAAAGTACTGTAAACCAATCAACGATCTTGTTAAGTTCAAATACATTCTGAAATTCAACATTTGGACGTTTTTTTATGTCAGACACATAAATAATAACTAAATCTTCTTTTTGTGAGCTTGTTAGAAGTTAAAATACAAGACAGGGAAAAGGAATCAATAAGTAACAATGTTGTCCAATAAAATGCTTTGGAGGGGTTTTCAGTGTGTTCTTTTCATTACACTCGATCTTTCTAGTCCGAATTATTCTGGAAACATTTCTCCAGCCGTATATCCCCCCTCTGGTTTTGTCAGGAACTGAAAGTTAAAGTGGGTTGATTGGTTAACAAACTAGTTAAGAAGTTAATGTTTCACATTTTTGATATTCCAGACATAAAAGAGTAATATAAAAGACGTCACTTAATTTCAGAGAATCATATTTACTGTTGAGACGCTGGTTGTGAAAGTTTCAATCCATTCAGTAATAACTGGAAAGAAATAACTGAAATTTTTGAGCAAAAGAATGCTTTTCTAGAGGTTCAAACACTCATCAGTGATTTATTTTAATTATGGTATAAATAGTTAGTTTATAATTAAGCTTCTGGGTGTCAGAAACCACCAAATATTAACTTGAAAGCTTTCTAATGATATTCAATCATCAAACAATAAATAAAGTGAGACATATTGCAAATAAATATCTCTTAGAGGCTACACATGAAACTCTCTAGAGAAAATTCAGTTAATGTTTACAGTATTGATTGCACCGGGCGAGCTGGCAGCCATTGACAAGGCTTGTCCGGCATATTGAAGATATTGATGCTCACTATACGATTTAAGCCTGGTGGATCTCGGTTCGACTTCATGAATGAATGCTAACAAACTTCATGACCAACTTAACTTCTGATATCCCCCGTCGACAGACTAAGTTAGTAAGAGATCAAATACAAAAAATGTTTTTGGTATTTATGTTTCATATGTTCTGTTTGGTGGACAAACCAGGGAAGATAAACGTGAAAGTAAAAGCCTACCCAATATAATACACGTTCCAAAAGTCAATACAGATCAAGATAGACTGTGAATAATGTGACCAGGGGGATAGATAATCTACAAGATGAAGTGGTATATAGACGTACACATG